ATAAAAAAAGGAGATAAAAAGGAAAAGATTAAAAAAATTAACAAAAAAGGGAAGAAAAATAGAGAAAAGGGGATAAAATAAAGGAGAGTAAGCAGTGTTTAGTCTGACTCATAAATTAAGTTTTGTTATCTTATAAAATAAAAAAAAGAAATAAGTAAAGGAAGAAGGAGAAAATAAAAAAGGGAAAAAGAGATCCTTGATATAGTAAAATACTATAAGAAAGGTAAAGAAGAAGGCAGGAAAAGGATTTTTTTTATGGTGACACTTAATAAAAATTGGCACTTAATACAGCATTGTTGTTGGTGTTTGTAATAAAAGGGAAAAGAGAAGGGAAAAAAAGCACTGTGTGGAGTACAGATCAAAACGTAAGAGTAAGAGTAGTAGTTAAATTGTGAAACAAAATTAGAACCCATGTCTGAAAAAAAGAAATATGCTCATGTTCCGCACTTGCGCAAAAACTAGTGAGCGGTAAGGAAATTTTTCCATCAAGAAAGATCCATTAGTGGGCGGTAGGTAGAAAAAGGTTGACTACCACTGATCTATTTAGCATATGGTGCCATTTCCCCCCAGCATAATACCATTCCACATGACCTCCAATTTTCCTAGGACAGTTGATGGGAATCAAATTGCATTTGTCATCAATCTGTTTCCTTATGAAAATCATTGCGTTTTTAGCCTTATACTTTATGTTTCTATGGAAAATAGTGGGCAAATTTACCATCAAATCATGGCAATGGGGAGGAGAAGGGGATGCGCTCAGTTTTAAATTAAAGAGTTCAGAAATTGCATATCATCGATCTGTCCAAATCTTGCCACTCCTAATATAAATCAGTGGCAAAAGCACAATGCATTCCCTTCTTTTTTTTGTAATGTTTTTATTAACGGCATAAAATACTAATTGAATTTGTACCATACACTATGGAGATTGACTAATTAACTACAATATGATAAGAAATCTGAAATAATTTTATATTTATATATCTATATCTATATATCTATAGTTATATAAAAAGTACTAAAGCAAGTATATTGGTTAGTACATTTACATGGTTAATTTCCTTGATTTTCCACCCATGTCACAGTACTTCCTCTTCAGTTAAATATTGGGATGGATGGGAGAAAGTGTCAAATGACTGAACAGTGATTTAATGGGGAAAGTTAATGTTATTAACTGTATTATTAACAATGCAGTGAAACAAGATTTGAATTTTTATTAAGGTGAAAGTTGGTGATAAAGAAGTAGATGTCATGAATACGTTTAAACTTTATATTACTACAAAATTGCCCAATCCTGCCTTCACTCCTGAGATTAATGCTAAAACATCAGTAATTGATTTTACTGTTACAATGAAAGGACTTGAAAATCAGTTATTGAAGAGAGTAATTCTCACAGAGAAACAGGTAAGATAACCTGCACAGTGAGTTGTTATACATAATGAAACACTGATGTTTCACTGAAGCTTAAATATTGATTCCAAAATTGTCGTTTGCAGTTCATTAGCAGGCAAGGTGAATTTAAGATGATGGATGAATGGTTAGCAGTGAATTTGGAACAAAGAAAATGGGCAAAAACTGTAGGATAGGAAAGGAAAAAGATTAAGAAACAAAGGTTAAGGAAATTATTTTCCTTACTCTTCCTCCCCAAAATTGATTATATTATTAGGTTAAGGTAATTACAAAGACCTTCCCTCCAAAGTGACATCTGTCGGCTCAATGGGAGGCATTTCATCAAGTGTCAAGAGTTCTTTGGAACCACCTTTCTTCATAAGGACTATTGAAGGCTTTCTCAGGAGTGAATATTTTCAAGCACCCTCTCTTAGGGAAAGGTGTAGAACAGCTAAGGGAAAGCCTAATTTGCCATTACTCAAAATGAACCTATTACAAGTAAGATTCATTATCACTAAGATAATAGGAAGATTTGGAAGGGGGAGAAAGATCTTGTTTGCTGGTGAGCTGTCTTAGAGAGCTGTCTTAATCCCCAAAATTGAATGTTTTCAAATTCTGTGTGATATCCATAACACAAATAAAAGTATTCCTAGCCCAAACAAAGCTCCAGTGATGGAGCAGCACATTCTTGCTCAGCTTATTATCATCATCTTTTTATTAGAAGACATAATGCCTAATACTGCATACTAAAATGTTTATTCTTTAGAAAGAATCTAAAAGCTTTTAATGCGATAATGTTTAATACTTCTGATATGCTATTATGGAGCTTATTAAGCCATTTTTGGTTTGCTGTTTTTAATTTGTTTCTGCATTTAATTTTGCAATGTAGAGATATTACTGTTTGCATTAGATTTTTACCTGTTATGCTTAGTCAAGGCAATTAGACTGTGACTCTAAATTGGGAAAATACTTGTTTTGAAGGACTTCTGTTTGTATTTATATAATAAAAATAAAATATACTGTATAAAATATAGCAATAGCAATAGCAGTTAGACTTATATACTGCTTCATAGGGCTTTCAGCCCTCTCTAAGCGGTTTACAGAGTCAGTATATTGCCCCCACAATCCGGGTCCTCATTTTACCCACCTCGGAAGGATGGAAGGCTGAGTCAACCCTGAGCTGGTGAGATTTGAACAGCCAAACTGCTGAACTGCAGTCAGCTGAAGTAGCCTGCAGTGCTGCATTTAACCACTGCACCACCTTGCAGCACAATGTTTTTATGCTAATTTTGGGACAAAGTTACAAATACATGATATTTTTACTTTTATTTGATTTTTTTTATTTACTAAATTTATATATTGCCCATCTCACTATCAAGCAATGATTAGAATGAATCCTGTTGTGGGTTTTGATACTGCACAATGCAGCAATGAAAGAAGCAGAATAGATGGAAGCATTTGCATGAGAAAAACAGCAGTAGAAGGGTTAATCCTTGTCCTCCATATTTATGTTGCAGTTCATTTCAAAGCTATTTCTTAAAGAAGTTTGTTAAAGTCTTATTTTCAGATTCCATTGGAAAAGTTGCTTAAAGAAAGAACTGCACAGGAAGAGTGATGCACCTATTTTTCACTTCTGCAATGCACAATTTGGAAAACATAATCTAAATGATTTTTTTCTCCTTTACAGACTAGGATATAGAGGAGGGTCTCCAGGTATAAGTGGATTTAAAAGATATATGCATAATTATTTAGTTTTTAAAATAGTGAACATTATTGCAGCAATTCCTTAGAAAGTTAAACATGGAAAAAGTGAAACTTGCAAATTTGGGTTGATTATGTTGTAGGCAGTAACATTTTCATAAGAGTGTAGGAATGTAAAAGAAGATGATCATGGATTGTTATAGAAATGGATTTCTGAGATCTATCAAAACCATTTATACTATGGCACATTTAGCTGTGGGTTTCTGGTACCTAATGTTCCTATCATCAAAAAGATCATCAAAATCCTATATGTCCTGAAATGCAAAAAAAAATAAAATACTTTCCTAAGAAGACAATCAATAAACCAGATTTAAACTCATCTTCATTAACTTTTTAACACAAAACTGAAGAAGTAAACAAGTCTGTTGTGATATTTAATATAGGAACTAGAAGCTGAGAGAGTTAAACTCATGGAAGATGTGACTTATAATAAGAGGAAAATGAAAGAACTAGAAGATAACCTCCTTTATAAATTAACTACAACTAAAGGTATGGTATTTATGTTTACCTCTGTTACATAAATAATGTAGACATTTACCAGTGCATCAGAATAAAAGATAAAATTTTAATTTAGAGCTTATTGGACTATTAATTTGAATCTAGTACAGGAGTGTCAGACTCGCGGCCCATGGGCCAGATGCGTCATGTGCTGGCTCCACCCACACCCAGTTTAGTGAAGGGGAAAAAGTCCCGATACATCACATGACACTGTCATGTTGATGCGAGGCTGTCCCTCAGAAATTTTCTACTATATTTGAAGAAAAAAGAAGATTTTGAGGAATGGAAACTTTGGTCCCTGTAGATAAAACAATGGGTGTAATTTTTCCTGTTGTTAAAAAGCAACTTTAGAACAATACCAAATAAATAGATTCAGTTGCCTTAAATCAGCAAAATAGCACCCCACCTAACTGGCAATGGTTGTCTAAACTATCATGAATTAATTTGGTCATAATTATACTGAGTCATTAAGGCAAATTGAGCAATGGAACTTTATTAGGGATGAAGAATTAATGTTATCCTGTGTTCCTGACTCTAAAATCCATTACTCTAAAATCTATAATAACCTATGAAGAATAGAGCCAGTTTCGTGTTGAGTTTAAGATACTTTATTATTCATTTCATTCACTATTACTTTGAATTAAATAGCTCCCCATCTCAAATACATGACTCTGGGCATCTTGAAGGCCTTTGACTCTGGGTTGTCAGTCCCTTTGTTTTCCATTAGTCCTTTTTACGCTACCCTTCCCTCTGGAAGTGAAAATCTATTCAAAATATTCTAAAACTTTATTGGAAACATTTTCTGTGCTACTCTTTAGGGTCTTTGGTGGATGATGAATCACTGATTGGTGTTTTGAGAACCACTAAACAAACAGCTACAGAGGTATCTGAAAAACTAGAAGTTGCAGGAGAAACTGAGAAAAAAATTAACACCGCACAAGAAGAATATCGTCCTGCTGCTACACGAGGGAGCATTCTTTATTTTCTGATCACTGAAATGAGCATGGTTAATATAATGTATCAGACTTCCCTAGCCCAGTTTTTAAAACTATTTGATCAGTCCATGGCTAGGTAAGAACACAGTGTACACAGTAATGTTTTTTTTCCCTGCTTTCTCCCCAGTATTTGTTGTAACTTAAAGAATTTGCTTGCTTTGTTTTGGCACCTTAGATCTGACAAGACTCCAATTCCACAGAAAAGGATCACGAATATTATTGAGTACTTGACATATGAAACTTTCACATATTCTGTTAGAGGCCTATATGAAAATCACAAATTTCTTTTTACCTTGCTTTTGACATTAAAAATTGATCTTCAGAGGGGCCAGGTCAAACCAAAGGAATTCCAGGCACTCATTAAAGGTAATCATCTAGAATTCTATATTAATTTTATTGTATATATTTTGCATTTTAAATCCTCATCACAATCTAGTATGAAGATTAAACAGAACAGGCAACATTTAAAGCCATTGGATCGAATTATCAGAGCTTTATAGTAGTCATAGCCAGAAAGTTATTCATAAAAGAATATGTGTTCATCATAAAAAAAATGCAAACTATATAATATATCTCCATAGATACAAAGAGTATGAACTTAGTTTGTTTCATTCATTCATTCATTCATTCATTCATTCATTCATTCATTCATTCATTCATTCATTCATTCATTCATATGCAGTAATCGGTTATAATGCTATGAAACAAGAAAATTACATGTTTGTCTCACAGAATAAGTATTGAAGCAGAAATACCAGAAATACCAGTACTATTTCAGATATTGTGGATACATGTGAATGTAGGGATAATTTTTGTAACAAATTGGGCAATCTTATCAATCTAAGTGAAACAAGATAAAAATTAGAGAACATGAATGCTGGACAATTTGGAGACCTGAAAATGAATGAGAATTTTTTGTTGAGTGTTTCCTTCAAAGAGTCAGTTTGTATCATGGAATATTAGAAAGTCCATGAATATGGAAATGAGAGCCATATTGTTACAGGAGGAAACAGGGCTGTTATAGAAAAGATTCTTGTGGCAGGGGGGAGAACAGATGTGGAGATTCAGATTTATTCCTTCATTAATTATGCCAGGTATTTATTTATTTATTTATTTATTCATTTATTTATTTATTTATTTATTTATTTATTTATTTATTTATTTATTTATTTATTTTATTTTGAGTTTTTTATATGCCGCCCAATCCCAAAGGACTCCGGGCGGCTTACAAGAAATATAAAAAACACATAACGACAAAACAATTTAAAACAACAGACACCCCTCATACATTCATTCTAGTCGGGCCAGACCTCAACAGTGAGGTCAACAGCCCCAGGCCTGCCAGAACAGCCTAGTTTTTACAGCTTTCCTGAAGGTCATTA